ATAAAAATAAATCATAAAAAGGCAATAAGTTATCTCAGAGTAAAATTCATCTCCTTTAAAACATACTGAAGAGGAAACAAAACAAATTGAATCAAAATGTACCTACCACCAATAAAGCATGTAGAATGAACAGGGAATGGCCACCGCTAGTTGGATCCACTTCCAGTGTCTGAGGAGGTAGCCCACCCCGGCGAGGTACACTAACCCAATAGCAAAGAATATGTGGATCACGATCCCCGCCCATATCCTCTTGCTTGGCCCCACCAACTCCAGACCTATAAGTGAGCACAGATTAACGTAAAATAAGATAATAAACTAATTATAGATAATGTATACTTCCTTAGCTGTGCTTATCATCTTGTAAGTTATAACCGGGTTTTCAACATAATTGTGTCAATGTTAATAGATAGTGTGTGATGACACTGATATCGAGTCAGTAATAACATGGTATATACATGTATTATCAGCAAAGCTTTTTATGTACGATGAGAAGAACTATTTATAATCACATTAGTACATGTACTCGTTTCCCAATCATCACAATCAAATATGTTTTGTAATAGTACATATTAAGTTACATGCATACAATATGGTTAAAATAATAAATGTGATGACATATACACAACTTGTGTAATTATGTAAATGAGTGCATAAGCGCGTACCGTGGACACAACAGACCATGAAGAGACCATGTATGGACGCTCCTACAATAAACTCGAGCATGAGGAAGCTGTAGAACTCGGGTGCAAAGGCGGCGCTGACAGAGGACGCCACCAGCACGACGGAGGTGATGGCGAACGTTTTCTTACGGCCAATACTGTGGGAAACCATAAAACAATTTCAGAAAAAGTGTTACATTTCATTTTATCTGTTAATGTTTCTCACAAGGACCCATCAATTGTTGGCCAAGACAGAATGCATGTTTACAAAATATCTCATCAATTTATATAAAAAGTCATTGACGTAGGGACAATTGTTACATGAAAATCTGCTTAGACTTCAAAAAGATTGGGACAACACAACACGTCAATATGCGGATGTGGTCTTTATTTCAAACGACATGAAAATATACAGCCCATCATTCATTTGAAGTGATATGCGAAAATCATGTTACACTAGTGTAATGGCAGATGAAATTATGTAATATTGTTCACATGGAAAATTCGTAATTATAACAGGAGTGGAGCCAACAAATGTATGGCTCCAGGTTGTCCTTGACATGTTTTTTTATTATCGTTTTCCGAGTATATAATAAACATAAGCAGTAAAGTAAATATAAAAAATTAGGAACGGATTGATAATACGGGAAGTATACACTAGAATGTCACAATGACAGCTTTCTGACAACTTACTAATCCGACAGCATACCAAATCCCAGGTCGCCTGCCAGTACCCCGACGTAGAATAACATTTGACTGTGAGAGGTCTTCAGGGAGTCGCTACACAGTAGACCATGCTACGGGGAAAGGGAAAAGCCTTGTTTAAACATTCATTTATAATAACTGGCTTGAAATTACGCGAGAGATAAACATAGAGAGGGGAAGGAAGGAAAAGGGGATGGGATCGCATTCGAGTGATAAGGAGAGCGTGCGCACCCTATGGAGGCACAGGAGACAGAAGACAGACAAAACTGAGAGAGATATGGAGAGAGAGAAAAGGGGAGGAAGACACAGATACAGATAACATATGCTATTTATCATGGAGAGTGTATTATGAATTGTTATCTTAATGGAAATATCTTAACGAATTGCAAAACACGTGTTCAATATATATGTTAATTGTTTATTGTGGTTGAGTTATGACGAGGTCGATTGACATGTAGAAATACGATCTTGCTATGAATAAATATGAGCACAGGACACTGTTCCTAATACTGGCATGACATTCGCGTGAAGGTTGATTACTGGGTCTACTGTTATTTGTATACGTCTTGTTTACGATAACAAACAGAAAGTATTATCTCAAATAAATAGTTCACCTCGTAGACAGTTTTGAGTTATAAGGGATTTTAAGGCATCTTTCCACTTTTATTGTATTTTACAAATGTTTAGACGCACGACAGAATTGAATTCTTCATACCTTGAGCAGCACAACTGATACGTCCTAAACCGACGAAATTACTAATTGGTGACATAAAGTTTTACTTGATTTGGCTTCTACATAGACTTACTTTATTATTCAAATCCTCCCTTCCTTACTTCGGGCTTCCAGGGAATATCAAAATGTATTGTACTCGTGTTGGTAGGTCAAATTATATTGCTTACAAAATCTTACACGTTCATCGTTAAAACTCTTAAAGTTGGGTTGTTTTTTTCAAGACGAGAACAATAAACTATTAATATAATTAAATTGCATGCTGTAACATCCTACCAGGATAGTGATTATGTAACGTAGCAGGCAAAAATAATTATCACCACACCAACATCATTATCTCCCACATCTCCATCACAGATTTTACCTTACGACACAATTTCTGTAGTATTTTGTTTGTCCTTTCATACCATTTGACAGCCATTCTACCCTTATTTCCTGTCGTTTTATGATAGCATGGTATCCTGTAGTATATTTGACTAATTCGTTAAATAAAACAAGTGCATATCATAAATATAATTCAATTCTTTACTTTGGATAACAAAAACTATTAGATTATATCATCACACACAATGACTACTCAATTTAGTACGTCATCTTTCGAACCATTCTTTGCATTTTGTCCAGACGTTGTCAGGTCGTCTTGGTAGAAAACCGGAAGCGGTCGGACATGACAAGGATTTGTAGCATAGCAGCAAATAATTGGGTTGTTTTCTTCGCAAAACGAAAATGTCGTATGGCGACGGTTCAGTACACAATAATAAATACTATCAATCAAACAATAGCTAACTATTTAGCCAATATGTTGTGTAATACCTCATCACTAACACAACGTCCTGGATTGGATTGTCTAAGTATTTTAAATAAAACGTCGATTCACTTAGCTTTTATACCATCGGTTATACTTGTTTCTGTTCCAATATAATAATATACATGTAATTTTATATATTAATTATTGGCCTTGTTTACAGAGGAGACATGAACATTTGTTTATCCACAGCGCAGCGTGTTATTTTCACCCATGGTATCATCCATGGCCAAAATGTCACTCGTCTGGTGTCCAGAGATTCATGTCTCCTACAAAAAACAATCATTATTCATTTATAAAGATTACCTGTGTTGCAAACGTTTCCTCGAATTCCGTCTTGTCATGTACCCATTGTTTACAAGTGGCCTTAGAAGCCAGGTCCTTGTCCGACGCCGCTAGGTCAGAGTAGTTGACAGGGGCTGGGTATGAGTAGGTGTTACACATGTCGTATTTCTGTGAACTGTCGTCCCCGGGGAGGGGGATGGTAACATTAACAAGCGCACGGTGGAAATCATTCTGTATTGCATACGTGTCGTTTGGATAGCCGGCGATCTTACATCTGGTTAGTCAGGAAACATATTATTTGTATAAAAAAAGAAACATTTTAATCTTTTCTACACATATCACATATAAATTTATCAACAATTATGATATGAGTTATAAAACCTAAAAAGGATATATTTTGTTTATCTTATGTTAGTGCGCAGTGGGTATTAATGTGGGAAAAAATCATAGTAACCAAAGAAAACCCACATGGTATATCACAAATCAGACATCTGTTCACTGATCAGTAGTCAACGTCTCTAATATTGCTGAAATTCCTGTTGATATTTTTCAATGACAATGAGAAAAAAGTGAAGAAAATCAGTAAGTCAAAATCAAAACAATATCGGATCCCAATGTCATCCTATAAAGACAATATCACCAAATGAAGAGACACCAAACCAGGTCAAAGATCTTATCAACATCTANTACGGTGCAATTTTAAGTGGACGATTTCAGTGTGAATTATGAGATGTACGGTGCGCCTTTTTGTGGACGATTTCAGTGTAAGTTATGAGATGTACAGAACGCCTTTAAGTGGCCGATATAGCTGTTAGTTATAAAACGGACGGAGTGCCTTTAAATACTTGATTTGCCTGTCCGATACTATAATAACACGGTATGCTACCACACTTCACAAACCGCAACAATTTCCGGACTTGTACATGTACAGACAACCGCTCATTACCATAACAGACGTGTTAGGTTTATCACAAAAATGTACGTATTTTTACCGTATTTTGTCAGCAAATTTACATTAGTGTGTTTTATTACGTGAACTTTGTCTGTACAGAGCAAAGCACTTGTTGATCTGAAAACATTACGATACATTTAACATGGATAATTCTTTTTTGGGAGGGGATAAAAATAAATACAAACTGTGTTTTGTAAACCATAAATAACATTACAAGCGTCACAATCTTGGATATTTGAAATAAATACTCTTCCTCCCATTGTGATAGCTTGTTTCAGTAATACACTATACCACACACATACTACACATATATTGATAAGAAAACACAATATGCCGTAAATTAGCCCGAGTTTCCTCTGGCACTAACACTAGACTTAGACATTTTGACATGTTACGCCAGAGGGAACTTGGACTAGTCGTAAACTAACACACCGTACGTTATTAATAAATTAATCTTTTGTTGTTCGTTTTTCATTTATTTTCGAAAAAATGTCTTGCTCATGACTTCAAAGGAATGAGTGTGACACAGATAACTTAAGGTCTAGTCGAATTGATGAAACAGAAATGTGTCCGAAAGATGTACGTTGTTTACGTTTGGCGTAAATTAAAATGTAAATAATATTTATTTTAAAATTGGGAGTGTTATCAAAGATCAATGTTTCTTATAATTCGGAAGTACGTTACACGGCTGTAAACTGTGAAGATAAGGGTAACGGTGATTTATCGGTGTGATGTAATGTAATGATAATGTGGGCCCCCGTCTAGGCGGATATGGCGACCGGACCTACACTTTCAGAAGCCTGTTATCAACAATGAGTCATCTAATGTCTTCATAGATAACATCGATTTCTTACTTTTATAGACATCATTTTGCTTTATTTAAAGTAATAAAATATAGCAACAAATACAACATATAACGCATTCAAGCATATTCAATGATTACAAAATATAGATACGAAAGGCTTATACGTTTGTATACAAATAGGCTTTAATGAATATCAAAATTTATACAGAAATAAACACGACATTTCCAGCTTTTAAAACATAACTGTGATTAGCGTATATCTGTTTCCCTTTATTCAAGGACGATAACTGGATTTTGTCAAGGAGGGATTTGGTTGTTGATTTGGTTTGTTACAACACCACATAAAACACAGTTATGATTAAAAATGCAATAGTGTTCTGATTACATTGCAAACTCTACATAGAAATGACAAGAAGTATAACGCGAAATAAACAATCCTTATAAGGCATTGACAAAGCTCTAAAGTACTAAACATTAAACCGTAAGTCTAGTATGTCAACTAATTATTACTCATCAAAGTGACTTAGTGCTTGGTCGGCGCTACACGTTAGTATACCTAATTCTACCACGTTCGCGATGTACTGACACTTTTCATTGGTTAATAACCAGATATTTTTTGACGATAGACTATGCGCGTGCAAGCAGACCAACGCTCTTCTTAACACATCCCCCGCAAAATGACAATAAGCGAGCCGCGGGACTGGTTTCATGTGTCCAATGAGAGTACACATATTTAATTTGGTATATATTTGAATATTTGCTAGCGGACAAACACTAAAGGTTGCTAAATATACTTTAAATCTGTCAAGCTTTACTGTTAGAATGTTCCGCCTAACTTTCCCGAAAGAGGCTTGAAATAGTATTTGTAAATCTGTCAAATGCTGATTTCATGTGTTGGCGAGCGATGTCGATTGATTAATTGAAATAAACCATGACGTCAGTGTTTATTGTAGATGGCGACAAAAGAATCCGTCTCACAAATAACCAGGTTAATTGACAAAACAAGAAATCTATCCACAGGGTGAAAAGTGCAATAAAATTAAACACGCAAAGACAATTATAAGCGCGCGCATCAGAACAACCAAATTAAAATAATCAGATCATCTTGTTCACCTTGCCTATCATATGTGTATGAACACTGAAGTAGACACGGAAAGACTTTCATTGTATTTAACTTGGTAGAATAGATATAATCAACAAACGCATCATTTGAAAATTTTGGTAAAATAATTAACTTCGCCGCTAGGAATTTGTCAATTATTTTGTCCAATATTTTCTCACCGTCGTTATATATTCCACTATAATACACGTACATACATGAAGGCTGACTATTTCTTTAAGATGAACTTTGTGGTCATTTGATTATTTCAAATGCTTAAGAAGCTTCATTTTAATGTTGAAATTTCAGTGCCGTTAAAATATTCATTACAGCAATACTTTTCCATGTTTAGGAATGTGGTGGGCTATTTATGTTGTTGTGCTGACTATTTCTTGGGAATTATTTTTAATTCAATTGTTCTAAATATTTCAACTAAATGCAGTGTGATTTATAGTAGATATAATTCACTTTTATCAAAAAGCAAATATGATGCATCTTGCATTTGAAAACTATGTTCCGTTTAAGGTACTGTTCCTAAAAGGTCACCTTTACATCCTACACTAAGCACAGCTGTTATCAATTAATGATTTTTGATACACTTTACAGTAACGTTAACGAATATATAAATCTGAACCAATATGGATAGCTGACAAATAATAAAAATACATATAATACAAAATAAATCTTTCAAAATCTCTCCCTTAATATTCTCCTTTTCTTACAAATGATATACATGTAAGATAATGTTTCTATTTATATAAAACATAACGTTATACATCGTCGTTTGAAAAAGATAACATTTATCAATTAATCTATAACAGTTACCAGTTATGCAGATACAGTAAAAGTAAGCATACACTGTGTAAGAGGGACTTGGATAAAATACTACAAAATACGGATTAAATACACCAGCTTATCAGATGTTAGGCATATATGCCGATATTGGGCAAGGATTCATGATTTTATGTTGGGGACGAGGCTTTGACCGGTAACTCCTGACTTCGTATCGGGGATGAGATGTACTGAGTCACTGGCTTGATGTCAAGGAAAAGGCTTGCTCAGTTTCTAACTCCTTCTTCTTACGAATTCTATGATAAGCTATCACATTTTCGTTAGTTCAAACAGTTTTCAATTTTAATGAAATCAAAAAGAGTGTGCTAGCAGAAGCCAATAGCACGTCACGTTCATTGTTAACGTGACGTCGTATAAATGCTGTCATATTAAGTAAGACATAAAAAGTACGTGATACAATACTTTTTTCTCTCCTATATCCAGTCATTCACCTTTCCAGTGCATCACAACCCATACTAGTTATCAATAGAGGAACAAAGGAGAGTAACTCTGGTGGTAAATAATACTCATTCATATGTAATGGGTTGTGATAAGGTCATTCATCCCCAGATATCTGAAGGGTTTTGCTCCAATTTATTATCCCCTCGTTAGGAATTCCTGTCTTCCAACATTACTTATAAAAGAGTCTGATAATCCTACGCTCCTAGCTTGTATTGTATGTATATAAAATTCATCAAAGCTTTGTAAAGTTTTCCAGGGAGGTAAAACTTGTTGTTGAGGCATTCAGACCCAGTGTGAGTTTCGACGGTGATTTTTCTAGTCTGCGAACAAAGAAAACGGTAAAGGGTTAGTTTTAATGCATGTAAAACTAAAACTGTACGTTAAAGATTTCTTATTTCAACCATTTCGCCAATCATACTGAAAGTCTCCTTTGCATTAAGTAATGAAGATGATGACTGTTGAATTAAGCACTACATGAAATCATTCAAAAAATGATATAACGTAGGTCAGCATTTGGATTTTCTACATTAATATACGTACTTTCCGAAATTTTTAGCATCTTCGATAGTTTCCGGGAGTTTTCGTTCGAGTGTTTCTGGTAAAAGGAGTGCCAACAAGCCTGCTGCGACTGATGCCCCACCGAAGATCACCAATGGGAGAGCTAGTCCAAAATTACCTCCAACCAATTGTCCCTGTATTCAAAGTGTAACGATTCATTAAATTATCATTTATGTTCAGGTGATACAAGTTTCAAGTTAGTAGGTTAGCAATAATAATTTTAAAAAGTCATAGTTAAGAAGAATAATATAAAAAGCATCTATTTTGATATTATTTAATTAACAGAAACTGCTAATTTGTATTGAGATAAATGTCTAATAATTGTCTAAAGGCATCCTACCGATTGTGCTACGTATGGAGCCGCCATCCCTCCAAAGCGTGCCACACAGGAACTTGCTCCCATGCCGCCATTTCGGACTATGGTAGGGTACAGCTCGAGAGAGAACACATATATCACCCCAAAGGCAGCCGCAGCTCCGAACTTTCCAATCATCGACAAGGTCAAGGTCAACGGCATCAGATCTTGAATAGCAAATTTTGTCATAAAACGTTTCATTTGAAATCTGTTGAAGCATTGCTAGTGAATATGAAGGTAAGCGGTAATGAAGAGGAATCTGTAGTACCCTTTATTCAAATTCAGAAGGGTGTTTACCATCGACTGGGTCATAATGTGTTTTGATACTTAAAGACAGCGCTTCATGAATGTATCTGAAAGTGAAATTGACAAGGTTTGTGTTACCAGTCCTGACAAGCTTTTCAATAATTAAGGCCACATATGAAAACAAAACACAATGTAGACAGAAAAGGAAATACAACTGTAAATCTGACATTTTAAACTGTCTTTATATTCCCTCATAATTTTGATACCAGTCGATAGGTCCAGTTCTGGTGTACAACTTAATGTGTGTTAAAATGGTACACTGCCTATAGACATGAAAGGGAATGCTGCTTCAAAATCCTGTGAGCTATTGGTATTTCTATATAATTTCAATTGATATAAGTCATAGTCTGAACTCTTTGTAATTTTTATGATTGTTACTTTAATTTGATCGTTCCGGACTGCAATACGCAATCGCGGATGCATACCATCGCCTCCAAAAAGAACCGGAAATATGGTACACAGACATGCGATTCCGGCGGTAAGCATACACGCGCATTGAAGCTTTTGCCGGCCCCAGCGGTCGAGCAAGGCTATGGTAGCAGCACCGGCGGGAAATTCAACCAGTGCCATGAGAAAGAATCCGAAGAAGAAACTGTCGCTGAGCTTACCAGCATGCATCGTCACTCCATAATAGACCATGCTGACAACGATCCTATAGAAACAGAAAAGAGCATTGCACATATTTAAAAAAGGTCTTGGTGAGTGAATGTGATATAACATATGTATTAATATTTTGTTTTCAGCGGTTTAGAGTTGAGACACCGGTCATTTGCACTCTTTGCTTGACAACAGACGTTTTCGAAAACTTGCAAAATATGTTTTCAATTTCTGTTTGTGTTCAAAACAAACTTAGTCTTTTGTATTAATACTTGTTTTCTATCACATTCTATTACATACAAAGTAAAGCAGGTCCTTATCTTGTAACAGGGTCATTTTCTCGGCAATGTTATATCGCAATTTACTGCCAGTATTGGAAGATGAGTAACGCTCCAGGCTTAACAGTTAACTACATGCCAGACAATTTACCCTTCACTTGCGCAAATTGATTTTTTTTTATATAAACACCTCAATATTACAAACTCAAAAACCTAAACTGAATAGCATCGTACATAAACATAGAAACTTACAAAAACAATATAATTTACTGTAACATTATTCCACATACAAAACAGTATATTTTACATTTCAGCGTACAAAACCGTGTACTCTACCACAATACACTCTAAAACTCCAAAAACTGAACAGAACAGTATACTGTTCAGTAGGATATTTTACAAACAAAATAATATATCGTGCTGTTGCATACTTCAAAATACTTCCAAAATTGATATAACACTGTGACCGTTACTTAATTTGAAATGCCTTCAAAACTTACCAATTAAAAAACAATATCATGGTCCTGAAGAATAACACCTTACTCGTGAAGAGGTGCCAGAGTTGTCCCCCTTCGGGCGCGTCTAGTGTTTTCTCGTCCACAAAACGTTCAGAGGTTTCCACTTTATTGACTTTGGCTATTCGTTGCAAGATTTCTTCAGCCTCGTCATAGCGGCCCTGACTTATCAGCCAACGCGGGGACTCGGGTATAAACCTATATATATTAAATATATATCTGGCCTTAATATTTGTTACTTCAGATAAGTGGTGAAAACAATACAAAGACAAACCGAAAGGAAACACAACCGCAAGGAATGGAGAGACGTCAAAACAAAAGAAAACAATCATAATTGTCTGCCAATAAAACGGAAACGAGTTGGAAAGGATGTTCCTTCATTATTTTGAAAATTACAAATATCGGTCACGTGAATTTAATCTCAACTAAACCGTCAAAAACTTAATCATAGGCGCAGAGTTTCCAGTTTCCTATAGTACTGATCATGACATTGTGTACAAAAATGCATAAAGAGCAGTTGAGATGGTAAGCAGTGATGCGTCTAATTACACTGTGTCCAGAGACAGCCTCATTCCAGTACAAGTCTTCGTTGCTAGGGATACGATACTGAAAACGTTGTTATGCAATTATCATGAACATATGTTTTAATTATACACATTGTCGGTTAGATATTAAGTATATAACAGAATGATTTACTTATAAAAATAAATCATAAAAAGGCAATAAGTTATCTCAGAGTAAAATTCATCTCCTTTAAAACATACTGAAGAGGAAACAAAACAAATTGAATCAAAATGTACCTACCACCAATAAAGCATGTAGAATGAACAGGGAATGGCCACCGCTAGTTGGATCCACTTCCAGTGTCTGAGGAGGTAGCCCACCCCGGCGAGGTACACTAACCCAATAGCAAAGAATATGTGGATCACGATCCCCGCCCATATCCTCTTGCTTGGCCCCACCAACTCCAGACCTATAAGTGAGCACAGATTAACGTAAAATAAGATAATAAACTAATTATAGATAATGTATACTTCCTTAGCTGTGCTTATCATCTTGTAAGTTATAACCGGGTTTTCAACATAATTGTGTCAATGTTAATAGATAGTGTGTGATGACACTGATATCGAGTCAGTAATAACATGGTATATACATGTATTATCAGCAAAGCTTTTTATGTACGATGAGAAGAACTATTTATAATCACATTAGTACATGTACTCGTTTCCCAATCATCACAATCAAATATGTTTTGTAATAGTACATATTAAGTTACATGCATACAATATGGTTAAAATAATAAATGTGATGACATATACACAACTTGTGTAATTATGTAAATGAGTGCATAAGCGCGTACCGTGGACACAACAGACCATGAAGAGACCATGTATGGACGCTCCTACAATAAACTCGAGCATGAGGAAGCTGTAGAACTCGGGTGCAAAGGCGGCGCTGACAGAGGACGCCACCAGCACGACGGAGGTGATGGCGAACGTTTTCTTACGGCCAATACTGTGGGAAACCATAAAACAATTTCAGAAAAAGTGTTACATTTCATTTTATCTGTTAATGTTTCTCACAAGGACCCATCAATTGTTGGCCAAGACAGAATGCATGTTTACAAAATATCTCATCAATTTATATAAAAAGTCATTGACGTAGGGACAATTGTTACATGAAAATCTGCTTAGACTTCAAAAAGATTGGGACAACACAACACGTCAATATGCGGATGTGGTCTTTATTTCAAACGACATGAAAATATACAGCCCATCATTCATTTGAAGTGATATGCGAAAATCATGTTACACTAGTGTAATGGCAGATGAAATTATGTAATATTGTTCACATGGAAAATTCGTAATTATAACAGGAGTGGAGCCAACAAATGTATGGCTCCAGGTTGTCCTTGACATGTTTTTTTATTATCGTTTTCCGAGTATATAATAAACATAAGCAGTAAAGTAAATATAAAAAATTAGGAACGGATTGATAATACGGGAAGTATACACTAGAATGTCACAATGACAGCTTTCTGACAACTTACTAATCCGACAGCATACCAAATCCCAGGTCGCCTGCCAGTACCCCGACGTAGAATAACATTTGACTGTGAGAGGTCTTCAGGGAGTCGCTACACAGTAGACCATGCTACGGGGAAAGGGAAAAGCCTTGTTTAAACATTCATTTATAATAACTGGCTTGAAATTACGCGAGAGATAAACATAGAGAGGGGAAGGAAGGAAAAGGGGATGGGATCGCATTCGAGTGATAAGGAGAGCGTGCGCACCCTATGGAGGCACAGGAGACAGAAGACAGACAAAACTGAGAGAGATATGGAGAGAGAGAAAAGGGGAGGAAGACACAGATACAGATAACATATGCTATTTATCATGGAGAGTGTATTATGAATTGTTATCTTAATGGAAATATCTTAACGAATTGCAAAACACGTGTTCAATATATATGTTAATTGTTTATTGTGGTTGAGTTATGACGAGGTCGATTGACATGTAGAAATACGATCTTGCTATGAATAAATATGAGCACAGGACACTGTTCCTAATACTGGCATGACATTCGCGTGAAGGTTGATTACTGGGTCTACTGTTATTTGTATACGTCTTGTTTACGATAACAAACAGAAAGTATTATCTCAAATAAATAGTTCACCTCGTAGACAGTTTTGAGTTATAAGGGATTTTAAGGCATCTTTCCACTTTTATTGTATTTTACAAATGTTTAGACGCACGACAGAATTGAATTCTTCATACCTTGAGCAGCACAACTGATACGTCCTAAACCGACGAAATTACTAATTGGTGACATAAAGTTTTACTTGATTTGGCTTCTACATAGACTTACTTTATTATTCAAATCCTCCCTTCCTTACTTCGGGCTTCCAGGGAATATCAAAATGTATTGTACTCGTGTTGGTAGGTCAAATTATATTGCTTACAAAATCTTACACGTTCATCGTTAAAACTCTTAAAGTTGGGTTGTTTTTTTCAAGACGAGAACAATAAACTATTAATATAATTAAATTGCATGCTGTAACATCCTACCAGGATAGTGATTATGTAACGTAGCAGGCAAAAATAATTATCACCACACCAACATCATTATCTCCCACATCTCCATCACAGATTTTACCTTACGACACAATTTCTGTAGTATTTTGTTTGTCCTTTCATACCATTTGACAGCCATTCTACCCTTATTTCCTGTCGTTTTATGATAGCATGGTATCCTGTAGTATATTTGACTAATTCGTTAAATAAAACAAGTGCATATCATAAATATAATTCAATTCTTTACTTTGGATAACAAAAACTATTAGATTATATCATCACACACAATGACTACTCAATTTAGTACGTCATCTTTCGAACCATTCTTTGCATTTTGTCCAGACGTTGTCAGGTCGTCTTGGTAGAAAACCGGAAGCGGTCGGACATGACAAGGATTTGTAGCATAGCAGCAAATAATTGGGTTGTTTTCTTCGCAAAACGAAAATGTCGTATGGCGACGGTTCAGTACACAATAATAAATACTATCAATCAAACAATAGCTAACTATTTAGCCAATATGTTGTGTAATACCTCATCACTAACACAACGTCCTGGATTGGATTGTCTAAGTATTTTAAATAAAACGTCGATTCACTTAGCTTTTATACCATCGGTTATACTTGTTTCTGTTCCAATATAATAATATACATGTAATTTTATATATTAATTATTGGCCTTGTTTACAGAGGAGACATGAACATTTGTTTATCCACAGCGCAGCGTGTTATTTTCACCCATGGTATCATCCATGGCCAAAATGTCACTCGTCTGGTGTCCAGAGATTCATGTCTCCTACAAAAAACAATCATTATTCATTTATAAAGATTACCTGTGTTGCAAACGTTTCCTCGAATTCCGTCTTGTCATGTACCCATTGTTTACAAGTGGCCTTAGAAGCCAGGTCCTTGTCCGACGCCGCTAGGTCAGAGTAGTTGACAGGGGCTGGGTATGAGTAGGTGTTACACATGTCGTATTTCTGTGAACTGTCGTCCCCGGGGAGGGGGATGGTAACATTAACAAGCGCACGGTGGAAATCATTCTGTATTGCATACGTGTCGTTTGGATAGCCGGCGATCTTACATCTGGTTAGTCAGGAAACATATTATTTGTATAAAAAAAGAAACATTTTAATCTTTTCTACACATATCACATATAAATTTATCAACAATTATGATATGAGTTATAAAACCTAAAAAGGATATATTTTGTTTATCTTATGTTAGTGCGCAGTGGGTATTAATGTGGGAAAAAATCATAGTAACCAAAGAAAACCCACATGGTATATCACAAATCAGACATCTGTTCACTGATCAGTAGTCAACGTCTCTAATATTGCTGAAATTCCTGTTGATATTTTTCAATGACAATGAGAAAAAAGTGAAGAAAATCAGTAAGTCAAAATCAAAACAATATCGGATCCCAATGTCATCCTATAAAGACAATATCACCAAATGAAGAGACACCAAACCAGGTCAAAGATCTTATCAACATCTACAAAATCAGATGAAACCTTGAGTCTGAAAAAGTGGCATGAAATATGACGCCCATCATAATGTATTGCATATGTCTGGGAAAGTGTGTCGCTAATAACCAAGGACGTAAGACATAGTGGCACTAATAAACAAGGACGTAAGACATAGTGGCACTAATAACCAAGGACCTAAGACATAGTGTCACTAATACCCAAGGAACTAAGACATAGTGTCACTAATAACCAAGGACATAAGACATAGTGTCACTGATAACCAAAGACCTAAGACATAGTGCCATAAATAACCAAGGACCTAAGACATAGTGTCATAAATAACCAAGGACCTAAGACAAAGTGTCACTAAAAACCAAGGACATAAGACATAGTGTCACTAATAACCAAGGTCCTAAGACATAATGTCACTGATAACCAAGGACCTAAGACATAGTGTCACTAATAACCAAGGACCTAAGACATAGTGTCACTAATAGTCAAGGACCTAAGACATAGTGTCACTGATAACCAAGGACCTAAGACATAGTGTCACTGATAACCAAGGACCTAAGACATAGTGTCACTGATAACCAAGGACCTAAGACATTGTGTCATTGATAACCAAGGACCTAATACATAGTGTCATAAATAACCAAGGACCTAAGACATAGTGTCACTATACCCAAGGAACTAAGACATAGTGTCACTGATAACTAAGGAACTAGGACATAGTGTCACTAATAATCAAGGACCTAAGATATAGTGTCACTGATAACCAAGGACCTAAGACATAGTGTCACTAATTACCAAGGACCTAAGACATAGTGTCACTAATTACCAAGGACCTAAGACATAGTGTCACTAATTACCAAGGACCTAAGACATAGTGTCACTAATTACCAAGGACCTAAGACATAGTGTCACTAATTACCAAGGACCTAAGACATAGTGTCACTAATAACCAAGAACCTAAGACATAGTGTCACTATTAACCAAGGACCTAAGAAAAAGTGTAACTAATACCCAAGGAACTAAGACATAGTGTCACTGATAACCAAGGACTTAGGACATAGTGTCACTAATAACCAAGGACCTAAGACATAGTGTCACTAATAACCAAGAACCTCAGACATAGTGTCACTAATAACCAAGAACCTAAGAGATAGTGTCACTAATAACCAAGGACCTAAGAAATAGTGTCACTGATAACCAAGGACCTAAGACATAGTGTCACTAATAACCGAGGACCTAAGACAGGGTGTCACTAATAACCAAGGACCTAAGACATAGTGTCACTAATAACTAAGGACCTAAGACATAGTGTCACTAATA